ATTTACCAGGAAAATATATATGTACACACACACACACACACACACACACACACACTTCCCATTTTTTTCTTCAATACCTGAACACACACCTTTATTAAGGTAGTTTTTGGAGCAATCTATGAAACTCCCAGCTTTTGGGAGTCCCTGAGATTCATCCTTTTGGGTTTCAGAGTCTATTCCCCAAGCCGGTACCTGCATCTCAGTGTGGTTATGGCATTCTCAAACACTCTTCCTCTCCCAGCAGGAGTCTTGCTCAGTCTGACCAAGCTCTCTGGGCACCCTGGGCCCTTCAACATGTAACTTAGGGGTTTCCCAGCACCGCTTGGAGCTGAACAAGAAATCAGTGTCCACTTGTTGAAGACCAAACTTATGAAGCACTTGTCTAGTGCCAGGCACTGAGGTCAGTGCTCGTCACATGTGGCTCATTGATTTAAAGTGACCTCATTCGAATCTCCCAAACCCATATACAGCAGAGGGAGCTGGAGACCCACTTGCCCTGCCTGTCCTCCACATTTGGGTTCTGACTGCCCTACCAGACAGCCCCCACTGTTCAGCAGGCGGCTCCTGTGGCAGGCAGGGTTGCACACTTTGCCCCCTCACCCATGCTTGACCCTTGCAGGCCTGTATCCACAGACCCTTCATTAACTCATTACCAATTAAACCCTTGTTTAAATAGATCCAAATTCAATAAGAATGTATTGTGAGTGGGTTTCAGTGGAAACAAAATGAGCTGAACTTCTGCTTTGTTTGTAGGAGAAATTACTGTCCTATCCAGGCAACCCCTGGCTAGTGTTGAGAGGCTAGGTACCCAGGAGGAGCTGGTGATATGGACAGAGGGAGGCCTACAGCTCCATCACAGGTTGGAGAAGGCAATTGCCAATAACAGTGGCATTCAGTTACAGAAGAGGCCTGGGAAGTGGGGCAAACCCACAATGAAGGTAGCATCCATTTCTTCCAAAGCTAAGCTCTAGGAAACTGAATGCCTAAACACTCCCAACTGTCCCTCAGGATGCTCAGCCCCAAACTCAAACACAAAAGGTTGTTCTAAGACCCAGGGGACCTAGCTGTGCATATGGGCATGACAGAAGCTGAGCCTACCAGCTGGTGGTCCGAGAGCCTGAAGACTTTCTGGAGCAGTGAAACTCATATTGTAGTACAGTGGTTCTCAACCCTCCTAGTGCCGTGACCCCTTAATACAGTCCCTCATGTTGTCATGACCCCAAGAATAAAATTATTTTCATTGCTACTTCATACCTGTAATTTTGCTGTTATGAATCATAATGTAAATATCTGATACGCAGATAGTCTTAGGCAACCCGTTGCCCAGCATGAGACACAGCCTATGCCAGTCTGTAGCTGGCAGGTCCTCTTCAAGGCTCTCTAAACCTCTAGTGAGACCTGGGGACTGGTTCTCTGCTGCCTAAGCAAGACCACAGGAAGGCATCTGTGATCTTCCTTACTGCCTGGAAGGCATCTGTGATCTTCATTACTGCCTGTCACCGGAGGTGCCTCACCCCAATTACACGCCGCCCTGCCTTGACCCTTAACCTTGCACCCCTTTCCACACCCTTGCCACAGGCATCTCCTCGGATGCAAATGAGTATTGTGGTAAAATGTTTCCTGGGGAAATGTAACACACATCTCCTCACCCCAGATAGGGAACCCACGGTGACAGACCCAAGCCCCGCTGGGTGAATCAGTGAATTTTACTGGGGGTTACTTATAGAAATATGAAGGGTCACTTACAGGAGCAGAAATGACTCAAAGACAGCTGCATCACTAAAGCCACCCCAGTATGGGTGACATTTAACAAATCTTGGAACCTGGAGCACACAGCACTGCCTGAAGGGAGTTCAACAGGCTGGAGAGTGTCCCTTCCAGGTCCCTCAGTTGGTCTTCTTTCCATGAGTCTTTGTAGCTCAGCTTCCTTCCCTCTGAGGGGAACTCTTGCTTTTATTGCTTACTCTGGCAGGGAGGGGCCTAGTGAATCAGGTCAGTTTCAGGGGTTTCCATGGACTATATTGAGTTGCTTACCTTCCTGTTTAGAGAGCCTCCTGGCAGGATGACATGTTCCCGTCTTGAGGAAATGAAAAGGTGTTCATATCCAGCTAAACTCTAGCATCCTCGCTGCACTGGGAGGCAAGCCCAGCTCCCCAGCAAGCCGTTCCCGTCCAATCAGAGACTGTCCTTCCCATCTCCTCTCCAGCAGCAAAACATCCTGCACCCCACTTTATTGTGTCCTGGGCTATACCATCCCCACCGCTTCCCTTGCAGACTTGTCTCCTGCAGGGTGACACAGGGTTTCTTGTTTCCATCCAGGCCTGCAAATTACCAGAGGACAAGGGAGACTCCCTGCCACCAAAAAGGAAAGTTTTTTGTGCAGTGGTTTGCATCGGGGATGTACAGCCAAGTGTCTGTCAAACGGATCAAGGATGTGCCACTCTGGACCATGCACGGTGGTACGGGGACTTTGGCAGCACTGACTTAATCTCTGAGAAGCCCACACTCCTTTTCATTCCATGGCCCAAATGCAATAGCTTCAGATCTACTCCTTTCTGATTGGGATTTGTACCATGCTAAGTTGCATTTGTTTTTGTTTTGTTTTTGTTAATGTCAAATTAATACCAGGCACTGTTTTTTTGTTTGTTTTTGTTTTTTTGTGCTTTAACCATTTGTTTTAGAGAAATTATTAGCCCACTTAAGAGAGAAATCATGGTTTCTTCTGCAAATACGACCGTTCTGGCCTGGCATGCCTACCTGAAGCTTACTTTTATCTAGGTGCACCCTCAGACAAAACTCTCAGAACCTCCCTCAGCACCTTCAGATCTTGTTTGTTTTCTCGTACAGCACTTTGGGGAGAACAACCGAAATGCTTTGCTTGGCATTTTCAAAGGCAAAACAAAACAAAACAAAAACAAGGGTTAAGAGGATACACTGGCCAGTTGTGGTGGCACACGCCAGTGGGATTTGCTGAAAGAGGCAGAGGCAGGAGGATTATGAGTTCGAGGCCAGCCTGGGCTACCGAGCGACTTCCAGGACAACCTCCAAAGCAATACAGAGAAACCGTCTCAAAAGAAAAAAAAAAAAAAAAAATACACTGCCTTAGGCTGAGCATGTATGTAGCTGAGGGACCTGGCATTTGCCTGGCATGCTCAAGGCCCTGGGTTCGACGAAGGCAGCTCCTAAATCATCCGAGTGAGCGAGCGTCTACTTGCTAGCGCGCTCCATCAATATGGGATGTCCAATAAAGGTCAGTGGAAGTAGCGAATTAGAGAGCTAAGCCTGTTCCCTCGATAAAGAGCTACCAGGGAAGGCAGAGAATCGAGTGATCCCTGGTCTCTATGATGCAGTTTTCTTACAGACTTATGACCATATGCAAATCAGACCACAAAAATCCCAACGGTCCAGGGTCGCCCAGTTGCAGCAGAACCGGGAAAGAGCCGGCTTGCTTCGGTGGGCCGGGCCGATGGGCGGGGCGTGCAGGTAGATGCGCAGCAAACGGGCGCGGCCCCGGTGGATCCAGTCCCCAAGACGTAAGGTGGGCGGTGCCTATGCCGGGGAAGCCGGCTTGGCCTTGGGGGTGGGTCTTGCGTGAACCTTGGCACGTGGGCTCCTGGGGACTCGGTGGTCTCCACCCTGGACCGCGGTGGGTGGAGCCTGCTCGGGACCGAGCGCCTTTGCTTGCGTGGGCGGGGACGAAGGGAGAGGTGTGGGGCCCGTGGGCGGAGCCTCAGTGGACCCGCCCCCCCG